GAAATCCGGCCCCTTTTTAGTCCTTCTGTCAGTTAAGTGACAGCATGGCACAATTATCCGTTAAATGTCTTTTTTTTTTTTCTTTTTAATGGTGACATGGGATTACACGTGGCAAAATTGATGAGTTGGCAATCAGATTTATTTTCCATGTAATCCTAAAATAATTAAAAGAAAAAAATCATTGTTTCCCTTTATCTTTTCATTTCCCATTTCTATCCTCGTCTTCTTCCTAAGCCCAAATCCCCGATCCTCTATACTTTTGCCTAAACTTAATCCCCCTCTAATCCCATTGATTTCTTCTTCTTCGCCAAATCTTCCTCCATCAAAGCCCTCAAATCTTCACTAATTTGCCCCCATTTTCTTCCCCCTTCTGTCTTCACTAATTTGTCACGAACCTAGGCGTGACTTGGGTTCATCGCGCCTGAGTTCATCTTGGGTTCGCGACGAACCCAAAGCACGCCTGGGTGGTTCTGGGTGGTTCGTCCTGGGTTCTTCTCAAACCCAGGATGAACCCGGCTCACAAGACTAGGCTGTCAAAGAACCCAGCTTGCGCCTGGGTTCATCGCAAACCTAAGCGCACGCTGGGTTCTCAATCTCTGCCAAATCGACAGTGCCGAGGCCCAAGGCCACGACACTGTTTTCGTCGCCAAGTTTTTTGGCCACTCTAGCCTCATCTACTTCCTTTTCCGTCATTCCGGAATCTCAGCGTCTTGGTGTGTCCCTTTTCTGATTATTATTATTTTCTCACATTTCTCGGATTGGATTTGGATTTTTCAATTTTGTGCTCAATTGCTTGTGTCGTGTGTTGTGTTGTGTTTGTGTTTCAACGTTGTTTCAATCCTTGCTGTTTGAAGCGTGCGGAAGGATGGTGAATTCGGTGAATGATGCGGTAGGGCTGCTGTGGATAGGGAACTGGCATGTGTGCCAGATGGCGGTGGAGACTGTTCTCCTTGGCGGAACCCTCTGGCCGTTGTCGGAGTTGATGGTTTCTCCACCAGCATCTGATGAAACTTTGGAAGCAACCTAGGAAGTGACAGAGCGACACTTCATCCGGTGTTACAGTCTGCTTGGATAGTGGGTGATGCACTAAAATCACCCTAGCAAGTGTACTAGTCGCCCCAAGTAATATAATGATGAGAGAGTGTCGAACCCACGAGGATTGTGTCTAACTAAGTACCAAAATAATTAATCCAAATTTATTTGAACAACCAAATGGGAACAAACTTTAATTAAAAATAATAAAAAGAAAATAACAAATAAACCTAACCAAGATAGGAGGCACTAAGGCATTGATTTCACCATAATCAATCAATATAAATT